GGCGTTTCGAAACCAGCATTGGTGAGAGCGCTCACGACTCCGCAAAGGACCGCCGATCACGAACAAGATCAGTTTTCTTTTCTTCCGCAAAAAGTCGTATCGATGACGCCGGCCCGAGTGACACCGAGCCCTTCGAATAGGACAGCGCAAGGGCCTGGCCTCCGCGTCGCCCTGATCGACGCGATGAGCGCCGGCGTGCCCCTCCTCGAGAAACAAACTCCGCACGCCGTTTGCCCGGAGCCTTGGAGCAATCAACGTCACGTCGACTGTGGGGGCGTGGATGGTCCTTGAACCGGATATTGAAGCCGTGGGCGAACAAATCAGCTGTCGCCCGGCGCGAGGTTCGGGGCAACGACTGATCGTAGATGCCGCTGATTCGTATCAGGGCGCGAGAATAATGACACGTCGCACAAGAAGACCGCCTACGGTCCCGCTGTCAAAGTGAGCCGTCGACTCAAGCCCAGGAGCGCGCGAACGGCTGCCGTCCCCGACAGCGCACCTGCACGGAGAACCCCTTGCTCCTCAGATTCAGGCATGGAATGACCCTGGGAGCAGTAGCGAAAAATGGCAACCTTCCTGCCCGTATCAGTGAGAGATCCGCAGAGTCGTGTGATCGTTGCCATTGATTTTTCGACTCGCGGGTCGGGATGATCCGAGGTGGGATTACGGGTTGCGACGATTTTCACACGGAATCGGAAACACGGCTCGTCGCCGGGACCTAACGGCATCGGCCGGGACGCCGGCCGACTCGGTCGCCACGCTCTGCTGTCCCCGGGACATGGCAACCCGCCCGGTGCGCACGCTATCTCGAGCAGACCGTAGGGCAGCAGGACTCCCAGGAGCCGGTCGATCTTCTCCTCGGTGCCGGTCGCCTCGACGATCAGCGAATCGGGCGCGACGTCGACGACGCGGCCTGAAACGTGTCCACGATATGCATCACCTGCGACGGTCTCTGCGGTCGCCGCCACCCTGATGAGGGTCAGGTCCCGGATGACGGCGGCATCGCCGGTCATATCGGTCACCCGCAGGACGTTCACGAGCTTGTACAGGTTCGCTCTCGAGCCGCCTCGCGCCGTTGTCGTCGGTATCGACGACAATCGTCATGCGAGAGACGCCGGCCACCTCGGTACGGCCGACCGTCAACGAAGTCGATGTTGAACGCCCGGCGCCGAAACAGCGACGCCACCCGGTTCAGAACGCCCGGCTTGTCCTCGACGTGCACGACAAGGTGCGCCGCATCAGCGTCATAGTCGTCAGCACGTCTCGGCGATGGGCTGGGGCGCAGCGCCGGCGATCATGCGTGCAGGTCGGCGACGCGGCCCAGGCGGCCCCATCGGAATAGACGGTATCTTCCTGCTCGACCCGGAAGTCGATGACCACCGCACCGGGTTCGGCCCTCGCCATCGCCACCGTCGGCTCGACGTCCTGACGCCGCGAGACCGTCGCGCTGCGCAGACCGAAGGCTTCGCCCAGCTTCGCGAAGTGGGACTGAGCAGCGGCGTGGCGCGCGTAGTAGCGCCGCTCGGAGACAGCAACTCCTGCCACGACGCGCCAATGCCCACGATAGCCGTGTGTGATGATTGGCCACGTTGACCTTCACCTTCTCTTGCGCGATGGTGGCCAGCTCGCACATCGTCATCTGGAAACCGCCGTCACCCACGATGACCCACACCTCGGCATCGGGCCGCGCGAGCTTCGCACCGATCGCGGCCGGCAGGGCGAACCCCATCGTCCCCAGGCCCCCCGACGTGATGAGCGACCGGGGTTCCTGATGGTGGTAGTACTGCGCTTCCCACATCTGGTGCTGCCCGACGTCGGTCACCACGACCGCCTTCCCGCCGGTCATCCTCCAGATGTCGTTGATGACGTGCGCGGCGTACAGATGCCCGCTGTCAGGCAGGTTCTGCACGTCGCGGACCGCCGAATCGCCCTTCATCCCGGCGATGGCGCCGAGCCACGCCCTGCGGTCGCCGGGCTCGATCCGCGGCAGCAGATCCCGCAGCACGTTGGACAGGTCGCCGGCCAGAGTGACGTCCACGATCACGTTCTTGTTGAACTCGGCCGGATCGATGTCGATATGGATCTTCCGCGCGTTGGGCGCATACGTCCTGATGTTGCCGGTAACGCGGTCGTCGAAGCGCATGCCGAAGGCCAGCAGCAGGTCGGCCTCCTGAATGGCCTGGTTCACCCACGCTTCCCCGTGCATGCCCATCATGCCCAGATTCAACGGATGCAGGGCCGGAAAGGACCCGATGCCGAGGAGGGTCATCGCAACCGGGATGTTGGCCCGCTCGGCAATCTCGCGCACCAGATCCATCGCGCCCGACAACATCACCCCGTGCCCGGCGAAGATGACCGGACGCTTCGCGCTGTTGATCAGCTCGACTGCCTGCCGGCGCTCGGCCTCCGACGCCCGCAGATCCGGTCGATAGCCGGGCAGGCGGACCGGGCTGGGGTCCCACACGAACTCGGCCGACGCCTGCTGGGCGTCCTTCGTGATGTCCACGAGCACGGGCCCGGGACGACCGGAGCGTGCGACGTAGAACGCCTCGTGGATGGTCGGCGCCACGTCGGAGACCTTGGACACCAGATAGTTGTGCTTCGTGATCGGCAGCGTGACGCCGGTGACGTCGGTTTCCTGAAACGCGTCCGAGCCGATCAGCCGGCTGCCCACCTGCCCGGTGATGCAGACGATGGGCGAAGAATCGAGCATCGCGGTGGCGATGCCGGTGACCATGTTCGTGGCCCCGGGCCCGGACGTGGCCACCGCCACCCCGACCTCGCCGCTGGCCCGCGCATAGCCGTCGGCCATGTGGGTCGCGCCCTGCTCGTGCCGCACCAGGACGTGCCGGACCGGGTACTCGAGCATGGCGTCGTAGGCGGGCAGGATCGCGCCGCCCGGATACCCGAACACCGTGGTCACCCCCTCGCGGACGAGGGATTCCCACAGGATCTGTGCGCCGGTTCTCATGTTTCCCATTGCCCGTACCCGCTCGTGGGCGGCGGAGACCCGCGGTCCCCTCACGCCATCGTCACCGCACCCTCGGCCGCCGACCCCACGAGGCGAGAGTACTTCGCCATGACGCCGGTCGCGTACCGCGGCGCAGGCGCCTGCCAGCCGCGCATGCGCTCGGCGATTTCCGCCTCGTCCACTTCGAGCCGCAGCTCCCGCGCCTGGAGTTCGAACACGATGATATCGCCGTCGCGCACCGCCGCGATACGGCCCCCCCTGCGCCGCCTCCGGGCAACATGCCCGCCATGAGCCGCGGAGTGGCGCCGGAGAACCGGCCGTCGGTCAACAACGCCACCGAATCGCCGAGGCCGACCCCGACGATGGCCGCGGTCACCGCCAGCATCTCGCGCATGCCGGGCCCCCCGCGGGGGCCTTCGTAGCGAATCACGACCACGTCGCCCGGCTGCAGCGTACCCTGCTCCACCGCTGCGAAGCAGGCCTCCTCGCTGTCGAACACCCGCGCCGGTCCGCGGTGCTTCCGGGTGCCGTAGCCGCCGGCCACCTTGACGACACATCCGTCGGGAGCCAGATTGCCCTTCAATATGATGAGCCCGCCTGTCGGAGTTATCGGATCGGACGCCGGCCGCACCACCTCCTGGCCGGGAGCCTCGGTCGCCGCCTGCGCCTCTTCCCCGATCGTGCGTCCGGTGACGGTGACCTGGTCGGACCGCAGAACGCCCACCTCCTGCAGCCGGTGCGCCAGCAGGCGGCTCCCGCCCGCCCGGTACAGATCGGTGGCCACGAAACGGCCTCCCGGCTTGAGATCGGCCAGCAACGGCGTCTCCCGACTGATGCGGTCGAAAATCGTCGATGGTGATGTCGACCCCGGCTTCGCGCGCGATTCGCCAGCAGGTGCAGCACGGCATTGGTCGAACCGCCGGTGGCGGCCACCGACGCGATGCCGTGCTCGAGGGCGGCCCGGTTGATGATCTGCCGCGGCCGATCCATGCGAGCGATCTCATCACGTCCCCATGATGAGGCGCCCCGACTCGGAGGCCACGACGTCCTTCTCTTCATCATCGCCGGCAACCGCGTTGTGACTCATCGGCGAGATGCCGATCAGCTCGCAGACGGTCGCCATGGTGTTGGCGTGAACTGACCGCCGCACGCGCCCGACCCGGGCACGCCGCGTCCGTCGAGCGCCTTCAGCGCGCGCGTCGGTCATCTTGCCGGCCGCGTGCGTGCCCGACCGCCTCGAACACGTCCTGGATGGTGACGTCGCGCCCCTCCCACCGCCCCGGCGCGATCGAGCCGCCGTAGAGCACGAGGCCCGGGATGTCGACCCGCGCCACGCCATCACGCCGCCGGGGATGTCTGTCGCAGCCCACCAGCACGACGAGGCCGTCGAACCAGTTGCCTGCCCCGGGCCACGAGCTCGATGGAATCGGCGATACACCATCGCGGCTGATCAGCGAGGCGCGCATCCCGTCGCTGCCCATGGTGATGCCGTCCGAGATGGACACCGTGTTGAACTCCATCGGCAGTGCCCCCGGCGGCGCGAATCACCTTCCTTGATCCGCTCCCCACGAGCCGCCGCAGGTGGAAGTTGCACGGCCCGCCCGATCTCGAGTCCACGTGTTCGCGACCCCGATGATCGGCCGGCCCAGCGCCTCGTCGTCGAACCCGACCGCCTTCAGCATCGATCGGGCGGGAGCGCGGGACGGACCGTCGGTAATTGCGCCGCTGCGAGTCTTGCCTGGCCTGGCGGTCATGTGCGTGAGCCTTCCGACTGTGCGTGCCTTCCGACAAAAAAAGGGCCATCACCCGGCTGTTGGATGATGGCCCTCGAATCTGCTGCGTCCGTCGAGTACATCATCCACTGGCCGCCGGCGCAATCAAGACGCCGACGCCGAGAACGCCGACCACGGCGGAGCAACGGGAAGTGCGAACCATGGACATGCCCATTCCGGAAACGGGCCTCTATTCTAGCGCGGTCGCGGAGCCGGTCTCAACAACTGTTTCCCACCACTGTTTCCCACCACGCCGGTCACCGTTCCGGCAGCGGCTCGCCCTCGGGCACGAAGAGCAGGGCGACCCCGTTGTTGCAGTAGCGCTTGCCGGTGGGCTGCGGCCCGTCCGGAAAGACGTGCCCCTGGTGCCCGGCGCAGCGGGCGCAGTGGTACTCGGTGCGCGGCAGGATCATCCTGAAGTCGCGCTTCGTGCCCACGCTGCCCTCGATGGGCGCGAAGAAGCTCGGCCAGCCCGTCCCGCTCTCGTACTTGGTCGCCGACTCGAACAACGGCAGGTGGCAGGCGGCGCACACGAACGTCCCGGCCCCCTTCTCGTGGTTCAGCGGGCTCGACCCGGGCGGCTCGGTCGCCTCCCGGAACAGAACCGCGAAGGACTCCGCCGGCAGCAGCGCGCGCCACTCCTCCGACTTCTTCCCGGCCGGGCTTGTCTCGGTCATGAACGTCTCCTCAGGGAGGATATCACCGCTTCCGGCCGGGCGTCGTCGGGGCGGCCGGCAGGCCGCAGCAGCGGCGCCGCGCCATCGACGCGAGGTCGTGCCCAATGCCAGCCGGACGCGCCCCACGGACGGCGGACACCACCGATTCCCGGCACCGCACCCCGCCGGTGAACCGCGGGCGTCTCCCGTCAACCCGCGTTGACGGCCTGCACGCCCTCGAGATCCGACCCGCCGCACCGAGCGCCGTCCGCCGCCGGCGCGGCGTCGGGTGACGCACTCGGGCACCGCCGGTTGGCCATAGCCGTGGCCGCGCATCGACGGACCACCGGCCCGAAGGCCCCCCGCCTCCGAGATTCCGCCGGTTCTTGCAGCCCCGGCCTGAGTGGCACGGCCCTTGTAACTTGAAGAGCTTGAATGCGCGACATGATGTCGCGTAATAGCATAGGAGGGAATCGTGCAAAGACGAAGACTACTGGCCACGGCGACGCTGACCGCGCTCCTGATCTCGATGGGGGTCCTGCAGCCGGCCCCGATGGGCACAGGGGCGGAGCTCGCGCCCCACACACAGCAGGCCGCACCGTACACGCCGCAGGCGGCGGAGGCGCCCGCCACCGCGCAGTGGTCCTACGCGTGGGGAATGGACGGCGGAGACGCGTTGGCATTCGCAGTTCTCGGCACCATGACCTGCGCCCCGTTCATCTGGATCGGCTCCGTGGCATGCGGACTGACCGGCGCGGCCTGAGCGTCGCAGGGTTGGTCGCAGGGTAGACGGTGAGAGCGATGAGAATCGAAGGGAACGGAGGCTGACGTGGAGAGACTCGACAGATGGTCCCGATCGTGGTCGAGGCTGCTCGCGGCCAACGTCCTGCTCTTCGGTCTCGCCGCCTGCGCCGGCTGGTCCAGCGCCGATCAGAGAGGAGAACAGCTCCAGGTGCGCCCGCCCGCCCAAGTCACCGGCAACCGCATCCACTCGGACGCCGCCTACATTCTGCGCGGCAACCTGCGGGTCGCAGCCGGACTGCTGGCGGGCGGGTGCACGCTGGGGCTGTTCACGCTGGTCGCACTGTTGTACAACGCGTTCCTGCTGGGCTACGGCCTGTCCGCCCTGACCCGAAGCGCCGGCGAGGTCGTGCCGTTTCTCGCCAGCTACGTACCACTCGAGTTTCTGGCGCTCCTACTCGTCGCCACCGCCACGCAGCATCTGTCTCTCGGGGTGGTCCGAGGCCTGGCGACGGGAGAACCGGTACGGCTCAGGGCGGGAGCCGTCAGTCTCGTCATCGGCGGCGTGCTGCTGGTGGTCGCCGCCGTCGTCGAAGCGAGCGTGATGCCCGCGATTGCCGCCGTCGCGGGACAGGCGCCGCCCCCAGGAGCACCCGATGAATGACGTCGTCGTCGAACTGATCGACATCCGGCGGCGGTTCCCCGGCTTCGAGCTGGGTCCGCTCTCACTCAAGCTGCGCCCGGGCCGCGTCTACGGCCTGCTCGGGCCGAACGGCGCCGGCAAGACGACGCTGCTCGACATCGTCGGGCTGCAGCTCAAGCCCACCGGCGGTGTCCTCCGGACGGGCGGCGAGCCGATCGGCTGGGGCTCGCTCCGCTGGAAGAAGCGGCTCAGCTATGTGCGGGAGGTCGTTCCGTTCTACAGCGAGCTCAGCGTAGCCGAAACGCTCAGGTTCGCGTCACGCGTCTACGATGCCTGGGATCCGGCTCTGGCGGCCCGGCTCGTCGACACGCTCGAGCTGCCGCTGGACAAGCAGGTCGGCAAGCTGTCGAAGGGCACGAAGGTCAAGCTGGGCATTGCGAGCGCGCTCGCCCACCACGCCGACCTCCTCCTGCTCGACGAACCCACCTCCGGTCTCGACCCCACGGTCCGGGCCGACGTCCAGGCCATCGTCCGATCCCTGGTGCGGGAACACCCCCGCCTCTGCGTGGTCCTGTCGTCGCACATCTTCGAGGACATCGAAGAGACGGCCACCGACATACTGATGCTGCGCGACGGCCGTTTCGTCTTCGAGGCGGCGGCCGACGTCCTGCAGGCTTCGACACTGTACCGCACCCACGCCGCGGGCGCCGGGGAGCCTTCCCCTGACCTCCTGGCTCGCTGGACCCGCAAGGGCGAGGAGTGGCTGCTCGTGCTCGGGGGCAGCGCGCTCGACACGGATCTGCGGCAGAGCGCCGACCATGTCGAGGATCGCCCGTCGAGCCTGCTCGCCGCCCTCTATCACGGCATGGGGCGACCCCGCGGAGAAAAACGATGAGCGCGAGACTGCTGTGGATCCTGATGGCCAAGGACCTTCGACTGCACGGCCTGCCCCTGTTGCTGGTCTTCGCCGCAATCCTCTCTCTTCGTCGGCCTGGTGATTCGCTTCGTCCCGAGCGACGCCTCGCCGGTGGGGTTCGTGACCAACGTCAACATGTTGATTCCCCCGTCATGTTCGGCGAGTGGCTCATCGCGCGCGAGCGTTCCACCCACTCCTTTGCCTGGCTGCGGTCCCTGCCCCTGGACGATCGGGCCCCTCGCCCTCAGCAAGTTCCTCCTTGCGTCCGCCTGCGGCGTGGCGCTGTGGACGCTGTCGACGGGACTGTTCGCGCGGCAGGTCTGGCAGTCCCGGGGAGAGCCGCTGGTCACGCTGTGCGCCCTGACCGCATTCGGCGCGCTCTGCGTCGCAACGAGATGGCGCATCAACTGGCATCTGGCCCACGTGCTCCCGTTCGGCGGCCTGGCCGCATTGCTGCTGGCGGGCATGCTGGTCGCCCGTGAGGGCACGCGGGCGCGCGCGGCGCTCATCGCCTTCTGGAACGCACCCTACGGCCCTCCCCTCATGGCGGCCGGCCTGCTGCTGATCTACCTGGGCATCGTGTGGAACACGATCCGGTGGGTTGAACAGGCCGACACGTGGCAGCTGGTCGACTGATTCACGACAGGATCCACCCCATGTACATGCTGCTGTGGAGCCCGGTTCGTTTCTTCGAGACCCGCCGCGCGAACGGCCTGCACTGGCTCACGGCCGCCAGCGCGCCGGCGCTGTGCGCCGGCCTGCAAGCCGTCACCGGCTCGATCACCAGCGCCAGGATTCTCCCGGCGATGGAGGATGCAATCGCGGTCATCGACGTCCCGTTCGCCGAGTTCCCCCTGCAGAGCATCGCGTTCGTCGCGGGCCTGCTGGGCTACCCGATGTTCTTCGGGGTGATGTTTCTCGCGGTGCTGGCCCTCGACATCGTGGCCAGCGGGTCGGAACAGCCCCGTCTGCTGGGCAAGTTCACGGCGGTCAGCTTCTACACCCAGGTGCCCTGGTGCACCGTGATGATCGCCATCGCCTGGCACTGGACGCCGGAGCCCCTGCGCCTGCCGGTGGGGGCCTCGGAGGCCGAGGTGCTGGAAGCGATGACCCGCTATCAGGTGACCGTCCGGTCGGGACCGCTGATGTCGACGGGACAGCTGCTGGGGCACTTCTCGCAGCTCTGGCTCTCGGCCGTGCTCGCCATCGCCCTCAAGGTGGTGGGGTCGCTGTCCGTCCGCGCCACCGTCGCGGTCGGGACGGTCCTGTTCGTCATCTGCATGGCGGGGCCGATCTTCAGACTGGTGCTCGAGAGCCTGCGGTGACCGACCTGCTCCGGCGCCACGCCGAGCACGCCGGGTTCGCCCTGGTGCCGGCCGACCTCGTCTTCGACGCCGAACGCGACCGTCCTCGACTTCTTGCCGCCGTCGAGCGCCGGTGCCCGGCCATTCGCGCGATCCTCGCCGGTCTGCGGCGGCGGCTGCCCGTCGCCCGAAACGCGCGCGAAGGCGTCACCGGACAGTTCTACCGGCTGCCCGGCCACTACCGGCGCGTCTGTTGCGCCATCCCCGATCTGACCGGCCCGGAGCGCCTCTGGGAGGGCGACGTCGTCGCCTTCGAGGGCACCGAGCCGTTGATGGCCGATTTCGACGACTACCTGCGGTGGATGCTGGCCACGCCGTTCCGGGACGGCGATCTCCCCATCGGGCTGCACTCGCCCCTCGTCGCCGGCATCCCGCCCGGCGCCGTGCCCCTGGACGAGTGCAATCACGCCCAGCGGCTGGCCGCGGCGCTGCACGAGCGGCATCTGACCCTCTACGGCGAGCTGGCGCAAGCGCCGGCGCCGCTGGCGGTGCATCGATGGTCGGCCGAGGACACCGCGCGCTACATAGAGACGCTGCGCTGGCGCCTTCCTCTGCAGGCCTTCGAGCGGGCCGAGGCCCGCGCGCGCACGGGATGCGGGGTCTCGGTGTGGTATTACCCCACGGCCCCGATCCTCGTCGACGACCTGCGGCTCCTGGCCGCCGCCGACCCGCAGCTGCGGACGGCCCCGGAGGCTGGCGAGGAGACCGTCGCGGGCTGGTGCCGCCAGTTCGCCCGGTTGCTGCACCTGGGGTTCATGCCGTTCGCACCCTGGAACGCCGGCCGCGGATCCTGCGTCGACGCCGGCAGCGCCTGCATCGACGGCGGGCTCTGGGACCTTTCCACCCTCGTGCCGTTCGAATCGATACCGGGCGACCGGTGGTTCCGGCGCAGCCTGCTCGACAGCATCCGGAGGCTGTCGCACACGGTGTCGGTCTTCGCGGCTTCGCTCGGTGACCGGCCGGCCGATCCCGTGGACCCGAGCCTCGACTCGCTGGCCCGGCTCTTCCTGGGTCCCCGCCTGCTCGACCACCTCGATCGGGAGACGCCCGGCGGCGCCGCCCTCGATTCCCGGATCTCGTCCTGCGTCAGGCTCGACCGCCTGGAAGACCTGGTCGCCGCGAGCGCGACGGCCCCACCGCGGTTCCGTCCCTACCGGCCGGCGCGCGCCGCCGGATGACCAAAGGCGCCCGCGGGGCAAGGCGGGGCAAGAGCGGCAATGGGACAACTTGCGGCAGGAACTCGGGGAGAAACGTCCGTCGAAATCGACAGGTGACGGAGTGGCATCCTGCATGCCGGCTCCTCCTCTATCCGTGTGATAGCATGGCGACATCCTGATGCAGATCATGGATTTCGTTGCTGCCGTCGGTTCGGTCGCAGCTCTCCTTGCAGCCGTTTTCGGGTACGTCAACGGACGAGACATCAGAGAGCTCATGGGACGCGTCGACGAAATCAGCCGCACCTGACCGAGCATGTCGGCACGCCCGGCCTTCATCGATAGCTGATTCTCGCCACGGGCTCCTTGGACGCGCCATGGCTGCACGCGACGTCGACACCGAACCCGGATTCCCGCTCGACGCTCCCCCGGCACCCAAGACCGGTTCGGACAGGCCTCGAAACCGGTCGATCGGTCTGTGGCTGGTCGTCGCCGCGCTCGGCCTGTGGCTCGGCGTGATGCTGTTCGTGGTTGGTCCCTTCTCGCCGGGGAGCCCGGCGGAGGAGCCGGTCGCCGGCCCGTCGGGCGCCGTGGGGGCTGCGCTCCGAACCTCGCCCGCCCCGCTCGATGCGGGCGCGGCGGGCTCGTCTTCCCGCCGGTCCGCCGAGCCGCGCCTGATCCCCGTGTCACAGCGAGATCCGCCCCGGGCTTCGCCCTGCCGGACATGGACGCGGGCACCGCGACCCTGGGCGACTACACGGGACGGGTCCTGCTGCTGAACTTCTGGGCGACCTGGTGCCTGCCGTGCCGGGCGGAGATGCCCTGGTTCGTCGAGTTCGAGACCATGTTCGGCGACGAGGGCTTCGCCGTGCTCGGCGTCTCGGTGGACGACACGGGCCGGGACATCGTCGAGCCGTTTCTGGAACGCTCGCCGGTCAACTATCGGATCGCCCTGGCCGACACCGCCGAGCGACTCGCGCCCTTCGGTCCGAAGAACGTGCTCCCCACGACCTGGCTCATCGACCGGCAGGGCCGGGTCGCGGCCGAGCACGTCGGCCTGGTGAGTCGCGAGGCGATCGAGGCCGAGATCCGGCTGCTGCTGAACGAGTAGCCGACCCGGCCCGCCGCGCCGGTCTGCATAGTGAGCTACCGCATCGTCAACGCCCGCATCGTCAACGAAGGCGCCGTCATCGACGGGGATGTGTCGATCGCGGGGGGCCGCATCGCCGGAATCGATGCGGGCGGCCCCGAGGGAGCCACCGTCTTCGACGCCGCGGGCGCCTGGCTCCTGCCGGGCATGATCGACGATCAGGTGCATTTCCGGGAGCCGGGGCTCGAGCACAAGGGCACGATCGCCACCGAGTCGCGGGCGGCCGTCGCGGGCGGCGTCACCAGCTATCTGGAGATGCCGAACTGCAACCCGCAGACGGTTACCGCCGAGGCGCTGGAGGACAAGCACGCCCGCGCCGCCGCCGGCTCGATGGCCAACTACGGGTTCTACCTCGGCGCCACCAACGACAACCTCGACGCGGTGAAGGCGGTCGACCGGCGGCGCGCGTGCGGCATCAAGGTGTTCATGGGATCGAGCACCGGCAACATGCTCGTGGACGACGAACGGACCCTCGAGGCCATCTTCGCGAACGCGCCGCTGCTGGTGGCGACCCACTGCGAGCACACGCCGACCATTCTCGCGAACGAGGCCCGGGCGCGGGAACGATACGGGGACCGGATACCGTTCAGCGAGCATCCGCGCATTCGCCCGGCCGAGGCCTGCTACCGCTCGTCGAGCCTCGCGGTCGAGCTGGCCCGGCGGCAGGGCACGCGCCTTCACGTGCTGCACATCACCACGGCGCGGGAGCTGGGACTGTTCGAACCCGGAGACCCCGGCGGGAAGCGGATCACGGCGGAGGCGTGCGTGCACCATCTGTTCTTCGACGACACCGCCTACGCGACCCACGGGGCCCGCATCAAGTGCAATCCCGCCATCAAGTCGGCCGTCGACCGGGACGCCCTGTGGGGGGCGGTCAACGACGGCGGATCGACGTCATCGCCACCGACCACGCGCCCCACACGGCGGAGGAGAAGGCGCGCCCGTACGCCGCCGCCCCGGCCGGCCTGCCGCTCGTGCAGCACGCCCTGCTCATCCTGTTCGAGCAGGTGCGCGCCGGCCGATGCACGGTCGCCACCGTGGTCGACAAGACCGCCCACGCCCCGGCGCGCCTGTTCGACATCCGGGACCGCGGGTTCATCCGGGAGGGGTACTGGGCCGATCTGGTCCTGGTGGATCCGGCGGGGGCGAGCTGCGACGAGCCGGTTCACGCGAAGTGCGGGTGGAGCCCGTTCAGCGGGTTCCGGTTCGGCGCGCGGATCCGGGCGACGTGGGTGAACGGCGAGCTGCGGTATCGCGACGGCCGGTTTCTCCCCGGCGCCGCCGGACGCGCCGTGGAGTTCGACCGCTGAGGGCCGTGAGCAGGGCAGGCGCCGCCACCCCGGCGGGTGGCGGCTTCATGCCGTCGAGCGCGGAAGCCCGCACGTCGTGCTCGCGGCGAACCGCGCGCGACACTGTCGCGGTTTCGCGTCGGAAACGTCCCACGCGCTGAGTCGCGACCGACTTCCTTCTACGGCAAGCCCTTGGTGCGGCGTCCCTAGATTCCGTCTTCCATGCGGACGGTGATGGTCTCGCACAGCTCCTCGAGGGTCCGGTGCTCGTCGTCGCCGATCTGCACCGTGAAGCGATACTCGCCGCCCTCGAGCTGCATCTCCATGCCGTCGGAACCGTCGCCGAAATGCACCCAGGGATCGGCGGCCGGGATGATCTCGCCGGCGGGCAGACACTCGGTCGTCCACCCCGAGATGGTAGTGCCCCACGCCCTCCCGCACGCTCGTCACTTCCTCGGGCACCACGCCGATCTCGAAGTTCTCGACGCCGAACGTCGAAACCGAGCGGAATCTCGGTCGCATGGTCGGTCTCGTCCCGCGGGGCGACGAAGAACACCCGCGGCTCCATCGACTCATCGGCCGCCGCTGCTTCCATCGGTTCCGCGGCGCTCTCCGGCGCGGCCTCCTCCATGCCCCCGCCGCAAGCCGCCGCGGCGACCGTGGCGCACCACCACGATGGCCAGCATTCCCTTCAACCTCAGTGACATCTCCACGTGCACGCTCTCCCCCTTGAATGGACGATTGAAACCTTCAACGTGATTCTAACAGCCCGCGGCAAGAATGCCCCGTCCCTGTCGACCGGCGCCGAATCTGTCCGGCCTGCGCCGTTCCCCGGTCGGACAGACCCCGCATGCTCTCTCGGCACGCCTCGTCGCACGAGCGCCTCGCCGCCCCCCGGTCTCGATGCGACGCGAGGTTCTACCGCCGGTCGTCAACCGGCTTGCACCGCATCGGCCCCATCGAGTGGACGCGTGAATCGCGCCCCCGGCGGCCATCAACTGGGACGATAGGCCAGCACGAGCCCGGCGCCGGCCGCAGCCATCACCAGACCCAGGAAGAAGACCGGTGACGGGAGATTCTCCGGCGGGTTGTACAGCATGGCCACGAACACGCTGACCACCGGCGCCCCCGCGAAGACGAGCGGGGGCACCACGGTGGGGCGGCCGCCGTTGACGAGAGCGAACACGATGCCGAGCGCCCCCAGGGCGCCGAGCACCCCCGCCGCCAACGTGAAGGTGACCCCGCCCGAGGTGAACAGGTCCCAGCTCCCGGCCCGCGCAATCATCGTCCCCGGCACCAGAATGGCGACGAGCAGATAGGCCACGCCCACCATCAGGAAGGCGTGCACGCCGCTCCCGCCCAGCGCGACCTGCCCCTTGTGCAACGTCGGAATGTACGTGCCCCAGCTCAATACGGTCAGCAGGACGAACGGCAACCAGCTACGCATTCCTGTCTCCTTCTGCGGCCGGGCGAGCCAGCCCCGCGTCGGACAAACGTTTCATTCTATATTAGCCAGGCGCGCTGCTCCCGCCGATTCCCGGGCGCGGCGGCTCTCCCGCGGGAACCATGGGCGCGGAGCCGCGGCGCGCCGCTCTCTCGCCTCTTCACGCGCAGGCTGCGACCGAATCTCGCGGGATGACCGGCGCGGGACCGATCCGCGCCGAACCGTCAAGCGCGGGCCCCGCATCCGGTGCAACGATGCGCGCGGCCCGGAACAGCAGATCGGCCGACTGCAGGATCTTCGCCCGCAGGCGGGGCGGATAGCCGGCATCGAGTCCATCGAGGAACCGGCGGACGACGCCGGCGGCGGCGGCGGAGTTGTGCCCGCCGAGGGTGGCGTCGAGCCAGCCCGCGGGAAAGAAGATGTCGCCGGTGCGCTGGATCTCGGCCAGCCGATCGAGGGCGGGGCGGATGAACCGCCGGGCATGCGCGGCCCGAAGGGGATGGTGCAGGTAGCCCAGCCCGGTCAGCGCCAGGGCTCCCGTTCCCGGTTGGCGGCCTCGCCCAGCCCGGCGAAGAACCGCTCCCGGACCTCCGGATCCGCCGACAGCAGACGGCCGCAGGACACTCGAAGAGAGCGAGCACGGTCGGGTCTCGAGCGGCGGCCTGCCCGCGCGAGAGTATCTCCGCCGTTCGGGCGCCCCGCGCACCGCCAGCGCGGCGCTGAGGGCGGTGAAGTCCCGCTCGGAGAGCGTCACCCCCGGCACCGTTCCTCTTCCGCCCAGATGCGCCGCAGCCGAGCCACCCCGTCGGGGGTCCGGACCAGGCCGTGCCAGGCGCGAAAGTAGGCGGCCCGGCGCGTCGACTCCGCACCGTTCTCCACGCCGTCCCAGAGGACCGCCTCGACCCGCGGCGCCGCCGCCCGGCGCGCCGCGTCGCTCATGAGGGTCCAGCAGGTGGTGGAGAGGTAGCCGAGCAGCCGCTGGCATACTGCTCGACGGGTTCCGACGAGCCCGGCGCAGCAGCAGCTCGAACCAGTCCCCGACGGCGATCTCCCCCTCCAGCACCGCCTCCCACAGCGTGCCCCAGGCGATGCCGCGGGTCAGCGGGTCCGGGATGTCCGGGAGCGCCGTCATCAGGAACCCGGTGCTGGCCGCGTCGAGCCGGAACCGGCCGTACTCCACCCCGGTCGCATTCGGCAGCACGAAGCGGGGCGCCGGCCGATCGAGATCGATCGACGCCCTGCCGCCGTCGAGCAGCAGCGGCTGCCGGACCTCCGAGCCGTCGTAGTCCAGCAGCAGCTCGATCCGCTGCGGCCACAGACGCGCCCGGCCGGCCGGATCCGACTGCTCCAGCGTGAGCCGTCCGCCCGGGGCGCCGTCCCCGGACCCGCGCCGGACGGTGACGGTCGGCCGGCCGGGCTCTTCCACCCACACCGCGCTCCACGACCGCAGGTCCGTCTCGGTGCGCCGATCGAGGATGTCGATGAGCTCCGGCCAGGTCGCGTTGCCGTACTCGAACGCCCGCAGGTACTCGCGCAGGCCCTCCCGGAACGACGTCTCCCCCACGAGCCGCTCCAGGTGCCGCATCACGATCGGCGCCTTCTGGTAGATGATGGGCCCATAGAGCGCCCCCGCCTCCTGCAGGTTGTCCAGCGGCTGCCGGACGGGGTTGGCGCCCGCGGTCCGGTCCACGCCGTAGGCGGCGTGGTGATGCGCGAGAAAGAACCGGAGGTCGTGGTCCACCTCGGGAAACGAGGGATGGACGATCTTGGCGGCGAGGAAGTTCGCGAACACCTCCTTCGTCCAGACGTCGTCGAACCAGTTCATCGTGACGAGGTCGCCGAACCACATGTGCGCGGTCTCGTGGGCGATGAGACTGGCCCGCCCGAGGTAAGCGGCCTGGGTCGCCGACTCGTCCAGCATGAGGCTGGACGCGCGGTAGAAGATCGAGCCGGGATGCTCCATCCCCCCGTACTGGAAGGGCGGCAGCAGCACGAAATCGAACTTGCCGAACGGATAGGGGATCCCGGTGTAGTCCTCGAGCCAGTCGAGGGCGGCGGCGTGCAGATCGAAGATCGCCTCCCGGTTGCGCGCGACCTTCGCGGCATCGGTCTCGCGATGGAACATCCGCAGCCGGCGGCCGGACCGCTCCGCCGTCTCGATCCGGAAGTTCCCGGCCGCGAACGCGAACAGGTAGGTCGGAATGGGCCGGGTTTCGGCGAAGCGCCAGGACGCCCGCTCCCCCGCACCGGCCGGGTCCGGCGTCTCGACGGCGTCCCCGTTGGCCACCGCGGCCCAGCCGGCCGGCACCTCCAGCGTCAGCGCGAAGCGCGCCTTCAGGTTGGGTTGGTCGAAGAGGGGCAGCGAGAAGTGCGCCCGGTCGGGCACGAAGAGCGTATAGAGGAAGTCGTCGTTCCGGTTGAGGGCCTCGTCGCCCGCCTCGAAGTCCAGCTCGACCCGGTTCTGCCCATCGGGGTCCAGGGCGCGGGCGGGAACGATGACATGGTCGTGCCGGGGCGCCCAGTCGACGGCGGCGCCGTTGGCCCGCACCGCCGTCACCCGCCGGGACGGATCCTTGAAGTCCAGCACCAGATCGCGGGCCCCGGGATCGGACCAGACGAAGCGGACCTCGACCGTCCCCGCGACCGGGCCGGCTCCGCTCGCGCGGGATCCGAAGCTGGTAGCGGTATCGGAGGTCGGACAGCGTCGCGGCCCGGTGCTCGGCCAGGGTCCAGGACACCCCTTCCTCGATCTCGACCACCGGCATCGCCTGCTCCCCGGACGCGCGCCCGGAGCAGAGTCCGAGCGCCAGCGCGATCGCGAAGAGCCCGCGGCAGAGGCCCCGCACGGTCTCACCACCGGCTCCCCGACGCCAGACCGAGCATGTCGATGGCATCATCGCCTTCCGTCCTCCGACCTCGCCGCTCTCCGGCCTCCGCCCTCCGCCGGCGTCTCCGGCCGGTTCGACGGGCGCGACCTCGGCGCCGCCTCGCCTCGTCCCCGCCCTGCGCGGCAGGGGCTCGCGGCGGCGCGGGGCGTTGGCCGCCGCCGGCCGGTCACCGCTCTACCGCGCAATCGCCGATGTACAGCTCGGGTCTCGAAGTGAAGCCGACGAGCCGGGTGTCGGTGTACTCGTGCCGCGTATGCACCGCCATCCACCGCCCCTCCGTCGTCTCCCGATCGATCACCGTCGTCGTGTACAGCGGCCCGACCGTGAACATCTGGACGAGATGGAGGTAGTCGCCGGTCTGCCGCACGATGATGTGCGAGGCGCCGTAGGGGCCGACGATCTCGGCCGTCGCCCCGTCGGTGTCGATCTCCTCGAAGCGCAGCGAGAGCGTGGAGGGATCGACGCTGGCCTCGGCGTCGCCGGCGGCCCAGCCGGCGGTCGTGAGCACCGTGAACGAACAATCGAGGCCGGTGGCGTCGGCCAGCCGGCCCTGCGCGAACGCGCTCGGGCACGCCGCGATCACGGCAACGAACAGCACGGCCGCGGTCGTGCCGGGTCTGGTGCTCAGCATGGATCCTCCGTTGGGGTACACTTCCAGGCAATTCTATGAGAATTCCCATCCTCGCGCT